GAGAAAGAAATACCTTCACCAATGACATTATCAAACTTTCATTTTTTCCCCTATCCAATGGCAGCTTTGTTCCTTTTGGCAAAATGGCTTCTCATTTTTGTTTTAATTTCTATTTTCCTGGTTATTAGTGAGTTTTTGATTCTCTCTCAGACTCTGTTATGCTGCCTGACTGAAGCAGGACTGTGGAAAGTCAGGCTGAAGAAAGACAGGGAGTGCAGAGAGCCAGTGGGCAGATGTGGCTCACACATTCTCCCTTTGGGGGCACCCAGCTCAATGACATTTCTTTCTATACTCCCTTGATCAGTTTTTTTTTCCCTCCCATGGCGATATTTCAGTAGTCTTTACACCTCTGATTTTAAAACTGCGGGGTGAAGGATCCTTTTTCAGTTGTGTCATTTTTTTCTGTGGAGCTGTCTAATTTTGTGTTTTGAGTTTTCTTGTGAATTTTTCCCTGCTTAGTCATTGTCTTTTTATCTCTTGGTTCTCTTTGTCTTTTCCCTCATTTTTCATTCTTTTTCTTCTGTCTCTGCTCCCTTGTTCCCATTGGCCGTTAAATCTTTATGTGCTGCTTTTCTTTTAAGTTGTATTTTCCCCTTCCCCTCCAAGCTTAGAAATGCTTTTTGCTCTGTCAAAGAAACACGGAAGGGAAGGGAGCAATGGAAAGGTCAGTGCACAAATCTAGAAGTAACCGAACCCAGGGGCCCACCCCCTCCAGCTGTTTTGAGAACATGATGCTGTTCTGATATGGTCACTTTGCCAAAATCTGTATGAAAAACGGAAAGAACATTGGAATGAGTCGATTTCTCATTCTGCCTCTGGCTCACTGTAGGATCCCTAGGCATGTTACTTCTCATCTTTAGGCCTCAAGTTCTCTGACTCTAAAATGAGGAGGTTGGATCTCAGTAGTCTTTCTATACCTTGGAACCCCAGTATATGAAACGTGACTTCCTGGGAAACTGCTGCAGATTAAGGGTCCAAAGTCGCCTTTATAATGGCCCACTGCCATTCATCTTCCCCTGCGATGTCTTGAACGGGCGCCTTCAAAATCTGTGGAGCAGCAGGTCATTTAATAGGAGTTAACAGGGAAGATAATTCATGACAAAAGTATTAGAACAATTAGAATCCATACAGGGCTGGGGAGGCAACCCAGAGACTGGCAACATTAGGAACCTTCTACCAGCCTGAGGAGTGGAAGGAGTGGAAGGGGGTGGTGTTGGCAGAGTCCAGGCCAACTTGTGGGTATAGGAGTCACGGTGGGGAGATAGCAGGAGCTGGAGTTATGGAAGGAAGGGCTGTCTGGAGGGACCTGAGGCTTCAGAGGAGATGCAGTCACTGTTGGAGTGGCCACCTGACTTAGAAAGAGGAAGCCAAAGCCTGGTATCTTCTTCTCACTGTCCTATCTCCAAACAGTCTCAAATTTAGGCAGGAGCCAGTTGCAAAGAACACAGTTTGAAGGCAAGCAGGCGAATAACTGGCAGAAACAACTGAAAGGCACTGGGTCAGATGATCTTTAAACTCTCTTCCTTTATATTCCAGAGTTCATGGATGCCCTGGAAGATTCCTGACTTCTGCAGTGAAGATATTAGTCTAGGGTGTTAACAGGTCGCTCTGCCTAGGAATTGGAGTAAACTACTTCTTCTACCAGTTTAGAGTCTTTGGACAGCACCTGCTCACATCTCCACTTCCCTCCCTCCCAAAGCCTGGAGCAGCTGCGTTTCTCCTTACGTGCGCTCTGCCAGCGTTTCATGAGAATCCTATTCCTGGTAGATTTTTGACCTTTTGAAGACAGGAATATGATCCTGCTCATGTCAGTCTCAGTATTTATCACCAAGAGGCCTCTGGGAATGTGGAGCCAGAGTACAAACGGAGGGAATCAATAGTATTACAGCCGAAGCTTTGCTGTTTTACAGTCACCTGTGATAGTGGGCCAGTGACTAAACCTTCAGCCTGGGTTTCCTAAACGGTAAGATGGTTTTATTAGGACAGACTAGGTGCTATAGATGGGCTGGGTTCTGCAGCAGCAACAAATAATCCCCAGAATCTCAATGGCTAAAAGTCCACCAAGGTTTATTTTTCACTGCACATTCATTGTGATTTACCTGGGGATGTTCAGTCCTCACTTTTAACCCCTGGCTCATAGATCAACTACCATCTTGAATATTGCCAATCCCCAGCTCGAGAGAGAGAGTGTTTGGGTGGGTGGGAGGGTTGACAATCAAATGTTGGGCCTAACGTGTCACGCACCATGTGTACTCATGCCTTATTATCTGGAACTAGTTACATGGCCTCACCTAACTTCAGCTAAGGCAAAGAAGTACCTGGAAGGAGGACAGTTAGGAATATTTGTTAGTTTTCATTAATGATAGTTACAGAGAAAGATAATAATACTTGACTTCTCATGATTTTTTTGGCCATTAGATAAGATAAATACTGATTATAATACCTAACCTGTAGGAAATGCTCCATCAATAATAGGTAGAACAGTTATTATTGTTATTATTATTCAGCAGCATGCTTTACACCATCCTTCTACTTAGTAACTTCTTTTTTCTTCCCCATGAAAATGCAAAAGTAGACTTAACTTGTTCCTGTCTAGACGTATCACAAATTCTTAATTAATGAAGTTGAGTTAATGAAGTTTTAGACCCAGTCAGGGACCCTACTCTTCCAAGTTTAGGATTGACAAATATAGGTAATTATTCTGTAAAACGATCACTTTGTGGAGTGATAGCTTGAGTATCAGCAGTGGCTTTGGAACTATGTTCACTGCGTTGGTTTTCAATTTAAGAGCCACAGACTTTAAGCAGCTTTTCATTTTGAGTCAGTGCAGAAACAGTCAATATGTATTATATGTCTATGAAGCTGGTCTCTGGATCAATTGCAGTTAGTTTGCAGCAGATTGCATTAACATATCTAAAGTTAATACACTGAGTGTTCTGATGAAAAGAAATTGACTGTGACCACACTATGGCTGTTTTTAGTTTCTCTCAAATGTCCTTTTCAAACAGTATTTCTTTTTTTCTTCTGTTAATGGCTTTAAATTGGTACATCAACATAAACTTAATCTATTGATCCTTCCCCATTTGCGTTTTAAAAGTGGTCCCAGAATATGGCACATATCATGTTCAATCTCTTCTTTCTTTAGGGGGCTTTTACTAAATGCCTCAAACTGAATTTTTCTTGGCATGTTACATGAGGTGCTATTAAGACTACTAAGTTGACGAGTACATTCATTTTTGAATTGTTGTGTTTTTCAAATTACTAATGTTTCATCAAGACTTAAAAATTCAGAAATAAGAGTAACAAATCATATACAGTTAACAAATTGTATAAACAGTTGTGAGCACTGCTTGTCTGACAGTTTATTTTTATCTTAGCATTATCTGTTTCTAAAGAAGAAGTACAAGCAACTTCAATTTTAATAACATCATTACCAATATTTATAAGGATGGAACAAAGAGAGAGCTTGAGGCTTGATCATGTTGAAATTTGAATTTTTTTACAAGTATGTGTAAATTATGTTTATTTTAGATCTGAAGGACTTTTACTTTTTTTAGAGAAAGTCAGTTTCTGGAAATGAAAAGTTATCTATATCAGGGGACAAAAAGACAAAAGGCAGGATTTATTTATTTGGCTATCTAACTGGTAATTTTTTAGTATCTTTTGTATGCCAAGCACTATCACATTCTTCATAAAGACATAAAGAAGTTGAAGACACACTCAGTCCTTGAGTAGAACCCAGTCTTGCTGTAAGGTTCTGGAGCCTCTTTGGAATGCCTCTCTTCCAAAAGAGCTTCATGAGTGTGTTGTAGCTTGGAGATGCCAGAAGAACATGCCATTTTTAAGGACACATTAAAGGTCCTGAAAGCTAGTGGTTCCATGTGGTAAAGCCCTGTGGACCTCAGTTTATGGTCTGCGTGATACTGCTCGGACATCCACTGAGGTCCTTGACTGAAACCGCTAGGAGGGATCTTCCACCACCAGTCTTGTGAGCCAGTTGTGTGATTGATTTTTTGGTTGGTTTGTGCATTAATGGCATCGTTATCTTACCTCTAGTGAACTGTGGTTCCTTTGCATCATAACTCATGGATAGAAATAAAACTAAGTGTATTCATTTTTTTGTTTTAAAAACAAGACTTACGGATTTGATAGGGAATGTCGATCTTATTCTAAAGAATGAGAAGAATTTATTTGTTTATGTCACTCCGTCCTTTGATTATTTTCCAACACAAATATAAACTAATTGATTAGTGCATATTGGAAAACCACTTTCACATGATTCTTACGCAGAGTTACTTTAATACACAAATGGCAGTTTTTAGGAACTAGTAGTTTAATTAATGGTGACTTTTTCAGGTTGCTGTACTCAACTTTGGTGTGTGAAAGAGATAATCTCATTGAACACATAATGACTGTACCTAGAGCCCATTAAAAACCACAACAAAGAAGTGGATTAGTCTGTGGCCCATTGACCTCAAAGAGTTGAAACAAATTTCCTGAGATACCTTAGGATGATTCATGCTGTGTGTACAGTTATTAAAATAATGCTTTGAGCTTTGTTTGGAGTGGAGATGGGGGAAAGCATATGCTATATAACAGAGTCCTTAACATTTTTTAAAATAACTTTTTACTGAAGTCCTTATAGACTCACAGGGAGCTGCAAAAATAGTGCAAGAGTACACAGCTTCCCCCAGCATCCCCTAGTGTTGACATCTTACATAGTTTGAGTGCAGTATCAAAACCGGGAAATTGACTTTGGTACATTCCTGTTAACTAAATTACACACCTTATTCATTCAGGGGTGTGTGTAGTTGTCCTTAACATTTTTGATTAGAAAAACAATTAAGCATGAAGAATTCATTATAGAGTTTTTTTCTTTTGCCTCCAAAATCTCTGTTGCCGATTGCCTTCTGAGGGTACCTGTAAGACTGGCCCTGTAAGTTGACCGTTATTCTTCATGCTGTTGTAAGTCTCCTTATCTCTCTCCCCAATTTCTCTAGGTGGTTCAGTTAACCCCCAGAAGATGGTTGAACCTGCACGAATACCAGAGCAAGAAACTAATGTCTGACAACGGAGTGAAAGTTCAAAGATTCTTTGTAGCAGACACTGACAGTGAAGCTCTGGAGGCTGCTAAGAGACTAAGTAAGCTAATTCATAGTAGGTGAAGTAGGCTTGGCCAAATTAGTGAATTCACAGGTAGTGGTTTCCCACTAGTTAAATTTCTTTGTCACCGGTTATACTAACAGTGACAGGTACAGTGTAGAGCTTTGAGTTGCAAGGGCAAAATGCCCAATTAAGAAAACTTTATTCTGTTACATGAGATAGCAGCATATGGGGTGCCACTCTATGGTAATTTTTCCAAGTCTCTCAGTCACTGTTTCACCTAGTTCTCTTATCTGTGGTTTAGTGGCTGCAAGAAAATTGGTTGAACAGTGTAAAGTGTCAGAGAGAAGCCCGTTGCAGGGTAAGTCAGTCAAGACAGTTGGCATCCTTTATTAAGCCTCTTAGAACATGCGGAAAGTTTCCTCTGAGTGACTGGAGGAGAGAAAGGGAAGAATGTGCATTTGGAAGTCCTTTTTTTTTTTTTTACATCTTTATTGGAGTATAATTGCTTTACAATGGTGTGTTAGTTTCTCCTTTATAACAAAGTGAATCAGTTATACGTATACATATGTTCCCATATCTCTTCCCTCTTGCGTCTCCCTCCCTCCCACCCTCCCCATCCCACCCCTCCAGGCGGTCACAAAGCACCGAGCTGATCTCCCTGGGCTACGCAGCTGCTTCTGCTGACTTTGGTTCAGTGTTTTGCCCTTTCATTTATCAGCTCTGTAACTTTGCGTAAGTACCTTTTCTTTTCTGTGCCTCAGTTTCCTTGTCTGTAAATCAGTGCTAATGTGTTTACCTCCCAAATCTATTTAGAGCCTTTAAGGGAGACTGCACACTGGTACATGGTAGAAAATCTAATCAGTTTCCCTAGTTATAGATTGAGAAATTGGGACTCAGATTTTGCTGTTTTTCAGTGAATATTCCTTCTTTTGCCATATAGACTCTCTCGTTGTCAGTCTGGATTAGCATTGTCCATTAGAAATGTAATGTGAGCCACACAAGTATTTTAAAATTTTCTAAGTCACCTTAATAAAAATAAAAAGAAACAGGTGAAATAAATTTTAATAATATGTTTTGTTTACCCCAGTATATCCAAAATATTATCATTTCAAAATGTAATTAATATAAAACAATTTTCAAGGGGTTATTTTATATTCTATTTTTGTGCTAATGCTCACAAATCTGATTTATATATTACATCACCAGGACATCTCATTTCACACTAGCCACATTTCAGGTGTTCGAAAGACACATGCTGTCTTGTGGCTACCCAGTCGGACAGTGCAGATCAGGACTCTAGAAGGATGTGCATGTGCATTCTTTGCCTGCAATCTTGGAGAGCAGTTGTTTGCCATTAAAAAAGAAAGCATAGAGCATCTGCTCACTGGCTTTTCCCAGGCAGCTGTAGCAAAGTTTGAGAGTGCTCTGTATTTCAATTTTCCAATTTTCTGTGCTCTTTTAAGAGTAGGTGATGAGGTGCTTTGGTTAGTAGTTGTTCTTTTATCTCCCTTTCAGAGTTCCCCCTGGTGCTTATACGCCAGATCCTTTCTCTGTTATTTCAGTTGAAATGTATATTTATTTTTTCTTTCAACAAATAGTTATTGTCAACCACGTGTTTTAGGCATGGTGGATGCAGCTGTGGAAGATGAGCAAGCCCTTTTTCTTCTTCAAAGTTACATTCTAGAAAGGAACAAATTTGTAATTTTCAGATGCTAAATGTAGAAATTGAGAGCAGTCTATATTTTAAGAAATGAAAATTGGTTTTATTCTCAAGAACTATCAAAATCGGTTTTTATGGTTAAAAAAAACAGTAAAATTAGACTTAAACCTGGATGAGAGTTCTGTAGTGAACTGTGGTAATAGACTCAGTAAAGGTTAGTATTCTAACATCATTATATGAAAGGATCATTTTTGTTTTATACTCCTCTGGTTTGGGGATTGGGTAATGAGAGCAAGAAGTGTGAAGTTCAGGTTGGTCTTTGGTCCTCATTTTCCCTATTATTTTCTTAAATGTGCTGACACACTAGTAGTCCAGGTCTAAGGATCTTTCTTAAGGGAATTCTGGAAGCCAGCTGCTTACCTGCCACCTGCCTTAAGTGGAGCACAGCTAAGAGAATTTACCATTCAGATTTTCAAAGAGATTTGGACTTAACCGGACTAATTGGCGTCTTGGTCATGGATTTTTTTTATAAGCATTTATTTAGCCACCACTTTGTGGGTGGGAATTGTATACTGTGTTTGTCAGACAGGATTTTTGCTCTGGAAGAATTAGCAAGGTGATATTTATATGTCAAGGCAGGGTGGACAGAGGGGAAGAGAGAGACAGTGAAGCAAGTTTAAATAAAAGAAAGTTAAATTAAAAATGAAAATCAACTTAAAAAAAAGACATTTTGGTTCCTGAGGACCGGTTTTTAAGGAGAATGATACTGGATTGAGAATGATGTGGCTGTATGTGTGCCTTGGCCTGTGCATACCTGTAATCATCCTTTAGATGGGGTGGCCCTGGGAAGGCCTCACTGTGATCCTGCTTAGAGCTAAAAGAGAATTTAGAGAACTAATCCGAGCACCTCATTTTCTGAATGAATGAGTAATCCTCCTCTTACTCAGTAAGTTGTTTTGGGAGAAGGAAGATCTCTGATTTTTGTTGTTGAGTAGACAGTTTTGGTCACAGGGGAAATTTATAGTACTGGAGAAGGAGATGGTACCAAGTCTAGTTGGTTAAACATGAAACAAGTTGATAGTAAATATGAAAGGAGGTATGCACATCTTTGAGATTACTTGGAGAGAGCAAAACGAAAAGAAGCTGACACAACTTCACCCTGTTTACGATCTTGTCTCTGTAAGATTGACAAAACCAACAGCACAATTGGGAGTTTTACCAAGGAGATTTGAGGTTAAGGTTGAAGCTGGATCACACATATGTCTTTCTGACTGTCCTGAAAATGGGACCTCCACTTTATAATTACAGTATTATAATGGGAAAAAATTACATAGAAGAATAATATGCGTAACGTGCAGTAAGTGCTATATAAGATTTTATTGTTGTCATCATCGGCAGCAGCAGCGTATAATTCCAAAGGGTTCACTGCTGTCATGATGCAAATTCACAGACAAATCAGAGACATCTGATGAGTATTCTGTTGCTTGTATGTTCAGAGAGTTCACATTAGACTTTGCAGAGTTTGTAAATGATTGAAATGTATTTGCTTACCTTTCTCCTTTATTGATATTTGAATATGTCTTGAAATAAAATGACATTTTATAAAATATTTTGAAAATAAATACTGATATTAGCCATGCCTGTGATTTCCATTGTAATCTCTGCGTAGATCATCTTACAAATCTCTTTCTTTGTGTTTAAAGTCACATTGCTGGTTTTCTGTTTGCCATCCACTTAAGAGTATCTCTGTCTTTCCTGGCCCAGATGGAGCTTGTCATCTCTTGGTTGCTCCAAACTCTTTCTCCCTCTTAGCTCTTCCTACTTACGCAGCTGAGATATTCCTGTGTCATCTTTAATGCTTCTCATGTCTGTCATATTAAGTCATTTGCCAAAGCCTGCCATTTTTAGTGCAGCATCATTGTTTTGCTAAAGCAACTAAACAGGCAAGATAAGGTTAAAAACTTGCCAGGGTTGTACAGCTAATTGACAAAGATGGGATTTCTACCCAGCCAGGTTGGATTTAATCTCTTCTCCAAGCATTTTTCCTCTTTGCTAACTTGATGATGTTGTTGTTGGGAGATTTTAATATGTGAGTCAGCATTTTTAAGATAGGAAATGCATATTAATAAGATTAGAAGATTGAATTAAAACTAGATGTGGCAGGTTCTAAGGCTCAATTCATAGAAACTGTGTAATCTGAAGATATTTTCTTAATGATTCATTTTGTTGTGTCTCTTTGGGCAGTAGAATGTTTTGCTGTGTAGTTATAGAAATCTTGTTAATTTGACCATTTGTTTCAGATGGGTAGTGCAAACCTTTTGTTTCTGAAACAGTTCATAATGATAAGCTGTTGAGCGAGATCCTCATTTTGTTGTACAGAAAATGAACTTATGTCTGACTGAGAGAGTAAATTTGGTTTGGTGAATTAAGTTTTTAATATATGGATAATATTCCTGCAGCATTTTTTATGAACTACCTTTTGTAATCATGCTTTCAGGAAGGAGTTGTTTCCTTTGCGTATAATTTTCTCAGGAGATTTATTAATTACACGGATTTCTCCTGTATGGATTACATTTAATGTATACAGTCAGCAGATAATTACAGAATACCTATTGTGTGCATGACTAATTTTTATGTTGTGTTTCAGTTCTCTTTAAAAATGAATGAAGGCATAAGTCTTTCACATAACTCAAAAGGCCTGTCTCAAAGATGTGTATAAAAGCATAGACGAAACTTATCTAGGACCACCACTTTTTAGTTTTTGCAATCTCCACAGTTTATTAATTATTCCATTCATATTGATATAAGACTCTCAACATTTGATTAAGCAAGAAGATGGTATTTCAAAACTCAGTTTTATTTCTTGCCAGGAAAGAAATTGAAATATGAATGGAGAAATTAATCTTTTCTCAGCTAATGACATGCATCCTAAAATGGAGATACGGAGCTTTTTATTGAACTCGGCCAGCTTTGGAGTGCTTTCAGCTACAACGTGTTTCCATTCATCAATATGATAACTTATTCTTTTCGTTTTATATAATCACATCCTAAAGCCTGGTGAATTACACACCATTAAGGAGTTGTACTTTATATAAAAAGGGAACTGCTGCCCATTGACTACTGATTGACATGTACAGTTAATCCTGTAGGCAATTAAATGCATAGTAAGCCTCCTTGATTGTTGTGGCTTTGTCATATCACATTATGTGGTTAGGATCTTGCAAAAAGATCTTCTTATAACCTTTGTGTTGAGATGGTGGTCATTATTGTCTTATAATGATAGGTGAGGATAACATTGATTACTCTGTAGTAAATCTTCTTTTTACTACCGTACCAGCTGTCCATTATTTTGAACCTGCAGTCAAGAATGCAATTG